GTGATGGTCTGAAACAGGTACCCTCTCCACATAATCTTGGAGTTTCCAATCTGCCAGAATTTTCACCAAACTGGACCCCTGGGGCACCTATAATCTAGTGCTCATCAAGGCAGGAGACAAATGGAAGACTGCCTTTCAAACCTGATTGGGCACTTCAAAAATTGAGTTATGCCATTCTGGCTGACCAACGCTCCTGCATTCTTTCAACACTTCATGAATGACATAATTAGACACTTCCTTAACCAGTATATAATCGGCTATCTTGATGACATACTTGTCTTTTCAGATAATCCTGAGCAGCACTGTTGCCATGTTCATTCCATCCTGGAAAGAACATGGACAGAATTCTTGGGTTACATCTTTTCTCCAGACGGCATCAAGATGAATCCCCAGAAGGTGGAGGCTGGCTGCAAATGATCCATGCCCAGGACCTGTTAGGAGTTACACTGCTTCCTGGGCTTTGCAAATTTTTACTGATGGTTCATTCCAGGCTTCTCAGTACAAATAGCCCCCATTACCAACCTCCTCCGCAAGGCTGCTAAATTTGTTTAAATACCCAAAGCTCACAATTCTTTCAAATAGTTCAAAGTTGCCTTCACCTCTGCTTCCATTCTAGCACACCAGCACCCAGCCCAGGCCTTCGTAATGGAAGCTGATGCCTCCAAGGTAGCCACTGGGGCCATACTCTCTCAGAGGCATAGTCCACAGCAAATGTTGCACCCCTATGCCCACTACTGCTGAAAACTCACCTCTGCCAAACAGAATTATGAAATATTAAATAAGGAACTACTTGCAATTGAATTTGAAGAGTGGCACCATCACCCACCCACTGCAAGTCTTTTCTGACCATGAGAACCTTGAATATCTATCGAAGGCTCAAGCCTTGAACCAAAGGCAGCTCAGATGGGTGTTATTCTTTTCTCCATTCAATTTTGTCATCACCTATCACCTGGGATCCAAGAATGGGAAAGCCAAAGCCTTATTCTGAAAGGGGGAATTCTACCAAGGGAGCAAGGAGCAACCAAGAACTACCCTTTCTCCTTGCAACTTCCTTAGTGCCGTAATATGCCAAGACCTCCTTGATCTAATCTGATCCACTTTGCGAGGCAATCTGTTATCTCAGGAGGTGACGGAACAGCCTGAGCAAATGAGAGCCAGAATCAAAATGCAGTGCTCCACACAGGATGGGATCACCTACCTCGATGAGCACATGTGCATTCCACCAGGGCCCCCTGGCTAGAAGTGCTCCATCTCTGTCATGACACTTCATTGCAGGCCACTTTGGTCACTTTAAGACTTTCCACATAGCTTTCTATTTCTTCTGGTGGCCCCATATGTGGCCTGAAGTCCAGGACTATGTTGATTCCTGAGCTGTGTGTGCCCACTAAGATATGAAATTCTAAGTCCCTTGGTGCCCTAGCACCTCTGGAGACCACGCCTAGATTCTGGGCTTCAATCACAATGGACTTCGTAGTGGAAGTCCTTGACTCTGATAGCCACACTTTAGTCTTGACTTCTGTAAACCAACTGACCAAAATGATGCACTTCATTCCCTGTGACAGCCTGCCCTCTGCAGAAACAGTGGCTCAACTCCTGGTGGTTCAAGCGATCCATCTTTGTGGGCTTCCATACCGAAGCCCAGTTTGTTTCACACTTTGTGCATGAAGTAGTCTGGCTCATGGATGTTTGCACTTTTCCCTCCTCCTTTTACTTTTCACCCCGAGACAGATGAGCAGACAGAGAGAGTGAATTAAGAATTAGAGCAATACCTAAGGTGCGTTGTCAGCTACCATCAAGATAACTGGTTCTCCCTCCTTCCTTACTCCAAGTTCTCATTCAATGCCAATCATGCCTCCATGGGGCAGAGTCCCTTCTTTGCCAGTTATGGGTTCCACCCTTGCTTCTATGCAGCCTTGCTAGCAGCTTCCCTGAACCCAGCAGCTGCTGACTGGATCCAGCAAATTCACCATATCCAGGAAGAGCTTAAGGACCACCGCAAAGATGCAAAATAGGACTAAAAGTGGTACAGAAACCGTCGACTCCAGAAAGGCTCAGCCTTCATGGTAGGCCAAATGGTCTGACTTGCAGCAAAACATCTCCATACAAACAAGACATCTTCCAAGTTAGACCACCAGTTCAGCAAATAAAACCCATCACCTTCAAATTGAAGCTCTCTCGAGCTCTTAAAATGCATTTTCCACATAACCCTGCTGAACCGTTATATAGACCTCTTTCCCAATCAGTCCCAACAGCTAGCTTGCCAGTCCAGGTCCATGGGTATGAGGAATATATAGTCCATGTTATCCTCAAATCTAAACTGCAGAGGGGCAGACTGTACTACCTGATTGACTTGGAGGAGGAGGGGCTATGATCCCAAAGAACACTCCTGGGAACCCGCTTCCCAAGTCCATGCCCCTTGACCTAGTAAAAAGGTTTAATCTAGACCACACAGATAAACCAGGCCTAGCACCCACCTGGAGGAAGGGTGCCCCTGAAGGGGTGTAACTAGGATTCAGGGATTAGAACCTTGGTCTGGAGAGCCTGGGACAGCTGATAGTCCCACAGTGCCCCCCCGGTGGCCATGCCAAGCCACAGACAGTGAGTATTGTAGAGAGTAGGCACCACAGGAAGCCCAAGAGATCCAAAGTAACAGAGTCCTGTGAGCCTCTGATTGATCAAGTGCCTTATTTAACCCTGGAGGGTGCCCGAAGAAGTTGTCTGAGCAACCACACAGACTTTGGGACTGCTGCAACTCGAGACCTCACCTTGTCTCTTGGTCTCTGGCTTCCGATCCCAGCCTGATTCTGATCCTGATTCCACACTCATGCTACCTTTAATCTCTGGTCTCCTACACCAGCCTGACTTTGACTATGACTCTTGCTTATTGAACCCAGCTCTAGTGATTCCTCCAATCCCTGCTCAGCGATTACTGTCCCTAATGTGCGGACCCCAGTCTACCTGTGACTGCTAGGCAAGACCACCTACGCCCATGTCCCTTACACTAAAAACCCGCAGTGAGTGAGCAATAATAAAACCAAGCAAATATATATATATATAGATTGGATGTATTTATAGAATATTCAGTGTTCAACTCAAACGGAGAAAAGAAAGGATTGTATACAACAAACTATTAGAATATTCTATTTAAAGCAGACTATAGAAAGGAAAATGCCTAAAAAAAGAAAAGGCAAACTATCAACTAACACTTCTAAGTAAATTAGACACACAACCAGAGAGAGAGATCTCACAGTCATGGTTATTCGGTGCACAGTCAGAGTGATCCTGCTCTCTCAGTAGAGTCAAGTAAGTCAGCTTATATACAGCTGCCACCTTCCAAATTTACCCTCCAGGTGATGCCCCCACAGAACTCACCCAGCAAATTTCAAAAGGTGAAAGAAAATAAGGGGTTTGCCCTCTTTTTCCCTCCCCAAAACAGACTTCCTGATGTCATTGATTCTGCAAACTCTATCACATCCCACGTCCTCTTCTTTGCCATAACATCCTACAACTTCTCTGTTCCAAAATGCTCAGGTCTGCCTAACAGATATATTTTAGGCATCTGTTTTTCAAAGGAGATAAGTACTTTTTCTTCAACAGGCTATTACATTCCTTCTAGTTCTGCTTAGTATTGTGCAATAGTGTTGAGCAATGTGCTTGGAAGAGTAGTTCTCCAATTTTTCAGACTATTGACCAGTGAAAGAAGAGGGCCTCTTGTGTTCAATCTCCTCTCCCAACTCTCTAGATCTCCCACTGCTTGTTTCTCAAATTTTGTTTCATTTTATGGACCATCAGGAAGGTTTCTATGGACCATAGTTTAAGAACCATGGTTTATGACAAGTTTTAGAAAATTGGAGGAAACTGATCAACTTTCTTGCAATTTATGATATGGTGATAAATTTTATTCCTTCTGATAGCTTCACTGTGCGCAAAAATCAAACTGACTTTAAAGGTTTTTATGTACAGTTTTTACGCTGATACAATTATTTCCATTAGGAGGGTGATATTTGGTTCAGTTTTTAACTGAAATAGTTATACAGGTACAACCTTAGTGTAGCCACAGTTATACTGGTATAAAAGCACCAGGAATAATAAGGCGCATCTTTCACTGCTATAACTGCATCCATATTAAGGGGGTGGTACTGCTTTAACTTTACCAGTATAGTGAAAGCAGTACAACTTTTGTGTGTGGAGAAACCCTCAGTCCTTTCTCTTGGTCTGTGTAGATACAGGTTTACTAGGGCAAATACATTCCTAGTGGTTGCTAAAAAAGTGTGTTTTGTACCGAATCATACAGAAAGCTTACTGTAAAAAGAGAAGAGACATGGGATACTTTGGAGACAATAAAATGTATTGATTTCCTATTCTTTTTTTTTTCTTTTTTTTTTATACAATGGCTGCTGTTACTTTGAAACTGTTCTTGCAGATTTGCAAGAAATAAAAACAAAATCCAGAACTGTTCTTTAGCTGTTGTCAGGAAAAATTAATCCTAGTTTAGATGCAAAGTTACTAACTAGGCTGTAGAAAGAGTAATTATTGACAGTACAATATCTCTGTCAATCATAGTTGCACATGCATTTTACTACATACAAGTGTACACAGATAATGTAGTTTATACCAGATTATATAGTTTGTACCTATTTCTTCTCAATAGCAAATTTAGAGAAATCATCAAGTTAATAGATAAAAATGACCGTTAGTACCTTAACAATTCCCCTTTCTACTAGCTCTTATTTACATCACTCCTGAGGTGTTCATGTTTATTTTCCAACCAAAGCCGACCAATTAATCAAATTTATCAAGAAAAAAACAAAATGCAATTTTCTAACAGATTAACAATAAACCAGTGCATGACTGCTATGATAGGAAATATCAAGCTTCTGTTTCCATACATATTTAAGTACCAAAGAGCATACCAAAAATAATCCTGTGTTAGGACCAGTATGGTTTTTAAAGATATTTGATGAAAATTATAAACAAAAAAACCCCTTACTATTTTGCAGAGAATCTTTGTCAGCAAGAAACATCCACTGAAAACAAGCTTCCCAAAGGATACCCCGCTGAGCAATTTGCTGGTCTACTTCATGGGTCGTCACCTGCATGTGACCCACCTGAAAATCCACTTCAACTATATAGTAAAGCAAACCATTGCAGCGATCTACTGGAAAGCAGTTTAAACAAGAACACAGTACAACAGCAGGAAAACAGCCCTGATCCTCCAGCTAAGAAAAAAAAACCACAAGTTGTAAACAGAACCATATTTCATACTAAAATTAATCCATTAGAAAATCACACATTGGTTGGCACAAAAACAAGAATAGGCGAGCAATGGGTTATTACTACTGGGGGATTTGTGGAGCGAGCGTGCACACTTGGGAGGATTCGATCTTTGCCAAAGACGTTGCTTGAAATGCATTTATCCAAAAATGTTTCAAAGTCTGACTCTAATCTCATCTCCTATCCACCTAATGGGAAAAAAGCAGGAAGCAGCTGGAGTGAACCCACGCCAAGCCAACAAAATTCTAAAGGAAATTCTGAAAGAACACCATCCTTCACTTCAGAATGGGAAGAAGTAAGTCTTTGGTCACTTTACACACAAACAAATGCATAAAATCGTGAAGGAACTATTCTCTTTTCAAAGTTACTGAGGGAAGAAATTACAAAGTGAATATGCCCAACAACAAATCCTCAGGGAATGTGTATCGTGGGGTAATAAATACATAGTGGTTTGACAGCTGGGACAAAATGGAATCCACTTTTGCTCTCAATGACAAACACTTAGAGTCTATTGTTTCCATGGGAAATTAAGTCAACCAGAAGTAATCCTGTAACTTTCTGTGATGTTCAGGAGAAAGCACATATTATATCCTACTAAACCTCTTCATTACTGGAGTTTATAAACTTGATAAAATATCTTCTTATTGCTGCTCTTCCTGGCTATTTCTATGCTTTTTGATTATTTCCATTTGTCTCTTTAGGGCACCAGTTAATGCCCACAAGGGACAATAGAGAATGGCAGATATGAAAAATCTGTAGATCCCACTTTTTTAAGTGGAACAAAACCTGTTGAGTTTCCATAAGCCCTTGATGTATAACACATCCTCTGACATTCAATTGCCCTTGTACACAGCACTTCATATGTTCTTGGTCCTGGCAGGAATAAGTGGGTGTTGGAGGGGAGCTATGCTTGGGGCTGTTTTGATCTGGGATGTGGGTACAGGTTAATGCTGCTTTTGTGATGCGTTTGAAGGACATTTTTCTGTAGTTTCAGAATTTGGTTTAAAGTTTTCAATATTTTTATAGCATCTTTACTCTAATTGAGTTTTTTCCTTACTGCTGTCCTAAATGTTAAGCATATAAATTGTCCACAGTAGACACTGAAGTTCCCATCCTATTGTGGTGAATGAGTTGGGAGAGGGGAGCATTTGAAATATTGCAACTCTTGTGTAGCTGCAGTCGCCTTTCTTTAAAGGTAAGCTGCAAAAGGGGAGTATCTCTCTCCACATACACACCCCTCATTTTATGATCTATAAAGACGGCATGAAAGGTGTGGAGGGGTTTTGGTGTTTGGTTTGGTTTGATTTATTTTTAAAGCTTGTTTTTCAAAATTAGAAATTTATGTCCTATCTTTCCTAGAAGATTCTCTAATGACTAGCAAAGTGATGATAGTACAAGATTCAAGAGGGTGAAAACTGAGCAGTTGAGAGGGGAAGCCTTTTAGTCCCTGTTTAAAGATTATTTAAAAAAAATGTTATCACCTATTTGATGTCAATGACTGACTAACATTATAGAGAGAGAACATTTTAGTTAAAGCTATGCCACCACTTCTTTTCAATTAAAATGTAAAAACTAACAGTGCATACTCTCAGAGATCTCCATTAGCTCCTCTAGCAAAACCAAGGACAACAGAGATTGATATTCTAAAGCTTGTCTACATTCAGGTTTTGTTTGCTTGTTTTGTTTGCTTCTTTTACATACAAGGGTTTGAAACTGGGCTAAGCCATTTTCTGGTGCAGGTCATTTTTTACACCAGTGCACCTCTATCATCTACCCTCACAGTTTGCACTGTAATGCTACTACATGAGCTACCTCCAGTGGAGACAAGCTCCAGGGTATTTAAAAACATTAAAAAGGGAGAAAAAAATTGAAAAGAACCCCAGAACTTTCACACGCTGCTTTTGTCTCAGAAAAAACTCAATTTTTAAAAAGGTTGTTGCAGGTCACTTTTACAGCTGATTTAATAGAGTCCCAACAAGGTGGCTTGAATTGTGAAAGCTATATCTTCTCAATGAAAAGATGCTTAGAGTCACATCATAATCTCAGTTACTGGTATACATTTTAGGGAAATCATGAAGTTACTGAGATCAAAATTTGACCTTTTAAAAATGAAAACTTAATTTACCAAAAACTGTGTAGTGGTTCTAAAATTGCAGATGCTGGGATTTTTATATCATCTCTCTGATTTTTCTCCTGTCACTGGTATTATCACATAGGAAAAGGTAGAACTCTTTCCTAACATTAAATATATGAACAAATAAACAAAAAAATATTCTATTTCCAAACACTTTTTACTTATTGTCATCATGCTTTCTCACTTATTGTACTGTGCCAACCCTTGGACCCACTTTTTTGTTTTATGGTCTTTCTTGGAAGGGGGCAGGGGGAAGAATATAGGATTAAATTAATGAAGAATTCAAGGAGGGTATATAGTTAATCAAAATCAACACAGGTTTATTAAAAATAGATCCTGTCAAACTAACTTGATGTCTCTTTTTTATGAGATTACAAATGTGGTTGATACAGGTAATAATGTTGATGTAATATACTTCTGTAAGGGGTTTGACTTGGTATTGCATGACATTTTGTTTTAAAAACTACAACAATTTAAAATTAAAATGGAACACATTAAATGGATTAAAAGCTGGCTAACTGATAGATCTCAAAATGTCATTGAGCGGGCGTGTTTCTAGTGGAGACTGCGTCGTGGCTCTATGCCCTTTAACATTTTTATCAATGATCTGAAAGAAAATATAAAATCATCACTGATAAGATTTTCAGATGACATAAAAATTGGGGAGTCGTAAATTATACAGACGACAGACAGGTCACTTATACATAGTGATCTGGATTGCTTGGTAAATTGGGCGCAAGCAAACAAGGTGTGCTTTAATACTGCTGAATGTATACGGGTAGGAACAAAGAATTTAGGCCGTATTTACAGGATGGGGGACTCTATCCTGGCAGACAGTGTCTCTGAAAAAGATTTTCAGGTTGTGGTGGATAATCAACTGAAAATGAGCTCCCAGTGCAACGCTGTGGCCCAAAGAGCTAATACAATAATTGGATGCATAAATAGGGAAATTTCACATAGTAGTGGAGAGGTTATTTTACTGCTGTGTTCAGCACTGGTGTGACTGCCACTGGAATACTATGTCCAGTTCTGGTGCCCACAATTCAAGAAGGATGTTGATAAATTGGAGAGGGTTCAGAGAAGAGTCATGAGAATGATTAAAGAACTAAAGAGCATACCTTATAGTGATAGAGTCACAGAGCTGAATCTATTTAGCTTAACAAAGAAAAGATTTTTACAGTCTATAAGTACCAACATAGTGAACACATATTTAATAATGGGCTTTTCAGTCTAGCAGAGAAAACAATCCAGTGGCTGGAATCTGAAGCTAGACAAACTGAGACTGGAAATAATTCATTTTTTTAACAGTGAGAGTAATTAATCAGTGGAACAATTAACCAAGGCTTATTGTGGATTCTCACCACTGGCAATTTTTAAATCAAGATTGGGTTTTTTTCCTAAATGACATGCTTTTGGAATTATTTTGGAGAAATTCTGTGGATGGCTTGTGTTATGCAGGAGGTCAGACTACAGGATCACAGTGGTCTCTCTGGCCTTGGAATCTATGAAACTAGTAAAAACCTACAAATTAACAAATGTGCAAAGGCATCTTGCAAGGAATGCAATATGGCCTCACAACCCATATCACGCCACAGTAGGCACAATTATATTTTCCATCAGTAGGCTTGGAAAAACAAACAAACAAACAAATAAATAGAGGATTCAGAAAATTACCCTACAATTTTAAATGAACAGGCGAGGTGGTGCTTAATAATCCAAACCAATATCTCTATCCATTAGTGTGACAAATATGTCAACTTCCTGCAATATCTTTGGGAGATCTTACTGTATTAAGTTTACATATCATTGTGGGCCAGGGATTTTTTTGTTTTTATGTTTTCTGTGTAATGCTTTTTACCTTAAGAATAAATGTGCTTATTTATACAGGGCCATGTGGTGACGTATAACCACTGTCAATTACACTGTTCATAAGCCTTCAGAGAGAAAGCAAAGCACAGATGCTGGCCTCTTTAGGCATTCTGGCTTGCTGAGAATATCACAGTGTAGGCAAGGGACCGTACAGTCTGGAAAACCCCAGTGAAATGGAAAGGAGAAGCAGGTCTCCATGCAAGAGAGGTGACAGCTGAGGAGCCAATAGCCTATAATGAGTGATCTGGATGAACAATTAACATTGCTGTTTATATAGTCCACTAATGGCTTACAAACATCATCAAACAACTCACTGCTTCATTGCCACCTATAAATTATGTTCTCATTTCATAGATATAAAGGCAAAAGGGGCTATTGTCTTCATCTAGTCTGTCCTCCTGTATAATACAGTTCATAGAACTTCCATGAATTAATTCCTTAATAAACTAGAGCATATTTTTTAGAAAAACATCAAACCTTGATTTTAAAATTGCTAGTGATGTAGAATCCATCTTGGAAAGTCAATCCAAATGGTTAATTATTCTCACAGCTCAAAATTTGTGTCTTATTTTCAGTCTGAATTGGATCTTGTTATACCTTTGTCTGCTACACTGAGGAGTCTATTATCAAATTTTTGTTCTTATAAACTGTGATCAGTTCACCCCTTAACCTTCTGTTTGTTACGCTAAATTGTCACCATTTATGTATCTTAACTTTTTCATTATTTATATTACATACATCTAAAGTATGACAAAATAGTTGAAAGTATACTGATACAGTTATATGTGAATAGGAGCTTGTGAATAGGAAAAGAAAAAGGAAAAATAAAAATTCAGCTGTGAAGAAGTTGCCCTTTACATTTTTCTTTGCGATCTTCTAGATTCTATTATTGTTTTTATAACAATAATAATGCCCTAGTTTTGGTACTTGAAAAATTTAAATAAAATACAATAGATGAGTTTATGATATTTTCCTGCTTTCTCTCTTACAGATTGATAAAATAATGAGTTCCATAGATGCTGGAATTAACACTGGGCTAGAGGAGATGAATGATGATACTGCAGGTAAGAAAGAAAATCTTTCTTTTCTTTTCTAAATATTACTTAATACGCTGGCTTTTAGGACACATAGCAAAATTGGTGATAGAATTCTGCTAAGTAACCCAATATGTTGAAATCATCTTATATTTATTTTCATACCAGTGGACAGAATTTGTTTCATTCACTTTCACAGAGTAGTATGCCAGCTATTCCAGAATCATCACTATAAATGGCATATTGGAATCATTAATGTTGTTTTGAAACCTTAGCAGAGAAAAAGTTCTTGTCTTCGATAGGGAAAAGGTATTGTCTTCAATAGGGAAAAATTTTAAAACTCATTCAGATGAGTTTTTGTTGCCAGTGTTGGGATCCCTAGTGTAGACAGCCTACCAGCTGGTGACACTGTTTTAAGCACCATGTTATCTAACCCTAGCTTGGAGCAAATCTTCGACACTGCTGAAAATGGTGCTGACAGCTTGTGCTGACAGTCAGAGACTGGTGTTAGAAATAGTGGGAAATTTTTCAAACTTTCCCTAGTATAGACAAACCTGAGGTGTCTAAGTCATAGCTACCATGTTGACATGTCAGTATAAATCTATGTTACTGAGCTGAGAGATCAGATTTTAGAAATTATTTATCATTTCAACTCCCAGTGCTGGTGGAAGAAAGCGTTTCATGGGGAAAGAGCTTGGTGCCACACTACTACTGGAAAATCCCTGCTAGTTCTTCCATGGAGTAATACGTGCCTGTATTGGGCAGGGATTGTGCATTTGATCATTTAGGTAAAATAAAACAGAGTATTCTAATAGCAAGCTATTTCATGGAGCAATACTGATGTCTATACTAGATGAGATTATGCAGCTTATTAATTAGGCAGAAGTAATTGCTAGTCAATAAAAAGAAAATCTGGGAAAAATCTGGGGAAATAACATACTTGAATGCAAATATGGTTACAAAAAAGTACACCCCACATGCAGATTTGTTTCTGGAAGAGAATGATCAGTATGGTGGAAAAACCAGGAAGGTGAAATTAAGAGACTGAAAAGGCATGTTGTGCTGACTTTCTAGAATTTGTAGTGTCCGAAGTAGAATTATGGGTAGAGGACCTCTAGACAGTGTTTCTTAAGCTATGGTAAGGCTTCTCCAGCCAGGATGACAATGATTGTTATTATTTTGGACTATAGTAGCACTCAGAGATCTCAATCAAAATCAGAGCCTCGATATGAAGAAACACAAGAAAAATGGGGGGATAGGGGAAAGGGAACAACAAAAGAAATGCTAAAATGCACATAGGGTTACATAGCTTAGTTATGTGCAGATAGGCTCCCATCACTTCTTGTGATCAGAGATTCATTTTCCCTGTGATTTTTTTAAATTGTGTCAGGAAATCCTCCCAATAATTCTAGCCATCAAGCACATGTGCTTTCTGCCTTATCAGTGGCCACTATGTTCCATACTCTTTTTCCTGACACTCACATGTGACATTTGGTTCTCCAGCCCTTTCAACTGACAGGAAATCTATTATGTTCTTCACTCTTCTGTTCCAAAAGAGCCTCTGTGGGTCTCAGCTTCCTTCCTTTCAGTTTGCAGCTGGCTGACAACTCAGCTTTTCCTGTACCACTTTTTCTTTATCTGTGTAAGTTCAGCTGAGCTCCATTATATAATTCCACCATCAGTGAAGAATCAGAAGTATACAAATGAACAAAGTAAGACCACATTTTTCTAATCTAACCATCTTTAATGCAAACAAAGCTACCTTTAAAGAAGTGCTAGTCTCTTTCAGAGCTTGCTACAAACAGCATCACCATTACAATTTTCACTTTATAAGAATTCTCTGTAGTAACTCAGAGCTTTCTCCATCTAATGTCTCATCACCGGCTGATAGCAATCACAGATTAGCTACATGTCATAGGTAGTCTCATCATACCATCACCTCCATAAATTTATCACACTCAGTCTTGAAACCAGTGAGGTTTTTTGCCCTCACTGCTCCCCCTGGAAGGCTGTTCCAGAACTTTACTCCTCTGACACTTAGAAATCTTTGTCTAATTTCAAGCTTAAATTTGTTGATGGCCAGTTTATATCCATTTGTTCTTGTGTCAATATTGGCACTTAAATAACTCCTCTCCCTCCCTGGTATTTATCCCTCTGATGTGTTTATACAGAGCAATCATTTCTCCCCTCACCCTTCTTTTGGTTAGGCTACCCAAGTCAAGCTCTTTGAATCTCCTCTCATAACGTAGATTTTTCCATTCCTCGGACCATCCTAGAAGCCTTTCCTTGCATGTGCTCCAGTTTGAATTCACCTTTCCTTACACACTAAATTTTAAAAAGACTTCAGCTAGATAAGGTTACGCTTTTTAAAACACATACACAGAAAGAACATTGTTTGATTTACCTGCATCTTAGAGGGCTGTAATAATGGCACCTTTTTTCAAGAAATTCCAGTGTGCAAGACAGAAACGCCTCTAAAATCAAACAGCTGGCTTTTACTGTCATGCTTCAAAGAATGCATGCAGGGAGAGAGCCATCTAGAAAGGAGTAAAGGGGAAAAAACTAGTTTAGCAGGGAGAACTCATCACAGAGTCATCCTGTATATCCAAAAAGCATATAAAGAAACATCAAGATCTCATTGATATTAAACAATTGTTACTACATACTCTAACATTTCCAAGATCTCTTTTTATTATATATATATATATATATATATATATATATATTTGATATGATATGATTAAATCTTTTAAAACTATTATATCTGAATGAGATTTGATTTGAATGCTAGGAATATCTTCTATTTTGGCCTGTCTCTTTGCTGTTTTGTGCAGCTCTGATCACAACAAGGTCCTGGTCTGTGGCTGAGGCTACTAGGAACTACAGTAATACAAATAATAAATAATCAGAGATGAATGAAAATTTTCAGACAAATAGTTTATTCATCAAACAGTGCAGTTTCAGGTTGACTGAAACTTTTCACAAATTCATGTCGAGTTTGCCAGATGTTTGAGCCGAACCAAAAAAGTCAAATTTTTTCAGTAATGTCAAAATGAAATGTTTCGTTTTGACCCCAAAAAATAATTTAGATTTTCAGGTGTTTTGACAAGAGCAAAGCAAAGCATTCACAAAACAGCTGGAGGAAGAGGTGGTGTTGCTGCTGCTTTCCTTATAAGCTTTAGATCAATGGATAGAGTGTGGGAATATGACTCTACAGCTTCATAGTTAGGGCACTCACCTAGAATGTTGTAGGAGACCCAAGTTCAAGTCATGCACAAAGGTAGAAGAAAGCCATCATGTCTTTCCTCTCCCTCTCCCAGGTCCTGCAGTGCACTCAGCTCAACCAGTCATGAGGCTCAAGCCTATATTTATATAGGAAAATTAATGTAATATTAAGTGACAATTGTTTTATATAAACTCATATTTTAAAATAATTTTCTAAATTTCATAGATATAGCAAATCTGTAGTTTTATTTAAATGCCTTTGTAAGAGAGTTTCAGAGATGCAGACTGAAAATGGTGAATTACTATTTAGAGTTCACTGCAGAAGTCAGAAAGATTTCTGACAATGTTACGTTCATTTGTTTGAAACTGGTTAGATTATTTAGTATAATTTTCAGGAAACATCAGTTTTCTTTTCTAGTAATTTAATTTAACAATCAATAAACATTCAAATAATACACACTCTGAAATGTAATATGAAATGGCACACTTCATTTTTATTTGTCTTCATTTGTTACTATGCTATCGTAATTTCAATATATGTTAGTAGAGACAGACAGCAGTTAAATGAAATTTACCCACACGTACACTTGTTTAACAAGTATGAAAGGGTTTTGATATTGCATAGTATCTCACTTTCATTGAATTATATTTTTTGTGTATGAAATATGACTTGCATTAATAATAGAATGGCTAAATATAAATCTGCGCTATGATGATTATTATGATAACGTGAGTTAACTGCAGCCAATCGAGAGGTGGAGTTTAATCAACTAAATAGCTGTCTGTTTTTTTGGCAGACAAGATACTTAAATTTGATAAGTAATATACATCCTGCAAGTCTTTAGAAAAGCAAATAAGCTGAAATATCAACCATCTGCACTTCCCTGTAAAATAATAATAATAATTAGTAATAAAGTTCAAATTCACATTTTCTTTTGCCTGATTATAAGCAAATTTTTCTACATAATTTTTTCTTTCAAGGAGTGCAGAGTAGTGTTTCCAGATTAATGAGAGATTCATGGTTGCCCAGCAGCAATGCAGAGATATGGGGCTCAGAGTTTGTTTATTTCTGAAAGTTACTTGAAAGGGAATAACTAAGAGACTTAGCCACTTTGGGGAGAAATGGCTCTTGAACACAAGGAATAGGAAGTACATCATACTAGAAATCAGAATGCTTCAGGGATCTAGTATTTAAATGAGTGATGAGTTAGGCAAATCCTGGATGGTTCCACATCAAAGCAAGTTTGAAGAACATAAGAATAGCCATAGTGGGTCAGACCAGTGGTCCATATAACCTAGTATCCTGTCTTCCAACAGCATCTGGTCCCAGATGCTTCAGAGGGCAGGAACAGAACAGGGCAATTTATAAAGTGATCAATCCCCTGCCATCCAATCCCAGCTTCTGGCAATCTGAGATATGAGGACACACAGAGCATGGGGTTGTGTCCCTGACCATTTTGGCTAATAACCATTGATGGACCTATCCTCCATGAACTTATCTACTTTTTTTAACTCAATTATGGGTTTGGCCTTCAGAACATACCCTGGCACTGAGTTCCACAGGTTGACTGTATGTTGTGTGAAGAAGTACTTCCTTCTGTTTGTTTTAACCTGTTGCCTATTAATTTCACTGGGTGACTCCTGGTTCTTGTGTTAGGTGAAAGGGGTAAAGAACGTTAGGTGAATAACTATTCACTTTCTCCACACCATTCATGACTTTATAGACCTCTATCATATCCCCCATTAGTCGTCTCTTTTCTAAACTGACCAATCCCAGCCTTTTTAAATCTTTCCTCATATGGAAG